ATGGCAGTATCTGCCGTGCGATTGGCATCGCCTGGGAGCTTGGTGCTGAGAGGATTCTCAAAGACCTCGCGGCAAGATGGCAGTGGACTGTTGTTGTCGAGGGTGACCTCAATTTAGTAACTATCGAACAGCTACAAGCACCTCTCATCCCCCCTGGACTCTTGCCTCTCTTGGAGGCATTTTTCGGCGTGCGAGCCACACTGCTTGCGAGTATCCATGATCAGTTGGCCATGATTATAAAAGCCCCCTACCAACTTGTCTTCCCAGGAGGCGGCGACAGCAATGCTGAGACATATTGCCCCTACGGACTGTTAGGATGCCACAAAAGGACACTGGATCACCTGTGGAGCACACTTGTCAATCATGGGCTGCAGACCTTTCCCATGGGAGAGACGGTCAGCCCGGGGTCCAAGGGGTCGTTGATCTCTCGCATCATCAAGGTTCTGAAGCAGAGGGACCGAGATTTGCGGTGCTGGGCTGGTAGGGACCTGTATGGAAACCATCCCTGCAATCCGATCAACGGGCTAGTTCGCGATATCGAGTACCAGATCGACGGTCTCCCTAGTCCCATCACCGAGGGGATGCGCAATCGCATGGCGACACGGAAGGATATGCTAGGCATCAGCTGGTAGGCGGGGCTATCACTACTGGTAAGGGGCGAAAATTGGCAGTGTAATCTTTCCCACTTGTAGTATTTTTAGAAACGATGCTTGTATTACCGTACCGTGCTGATGGTTTTCCTTGGGAACAGTAAACTGCATTGTATGGGAAGGAAATCGTATGATTCGTCTCTTCAGCTATGCTAGATGTACCGGGCAGGGGAAAGCGCAGGCCATTTATATGGCCCAGCGGCAGTGCTTCACCTACCGCTGCCTAGAGCGGTACTTTACATGTACAAAGGATCTTTGCTGCCTTTGTGGCCCTGTAACACACTTGAATATATCCTCCCCATGCCCGCCTTTACACTTGGCTGTTAGACCCTTGATTATGCCCACTCTGGAACGAAGTTATTAAACGTTATTTTTAGGCAACCGCAACCGGCATGCAGTTGCGGTACAGTTCTTCGCGCCCCTTCACACCCTGGTACGCGCTCCACACCTACTTCCTCTCGTCGCCATTCGAGATATTCCTCTTGGACCTTCGACAGGTTAATCTCATGATCGAGGATTTGGTCCTCAAGCCTCCGAAGGATGATCCCAAGACAGGGCCCCAAGAGATGGAACTCTGAAGGTATGCAGAAGTTGTCTGCGGCGTTTTCGAATCCTCGCAATATCTGGTCCACCGAGCCTTGATATTGCGAGCCAAGCGCTTGCGAATCCTGCCCCGATGTTATCGCACGATCGACCTCAGGAAAAGCAACTCGAAAATCGTCCGTTAAATTGTCTTTCAGATAGATATACTCGCGGATAAGCTTAAAGGCCGATTCGACGAAGTGTTCTCGTATTCCAACGATGTTATCTATGTAAGTCAGCCAATTATCACCGTGAAATATGTTGAATACACAATATCCGCATGTCAGGGGGAGCTCACCGAGCACCATCTGTTGGTAGACCAAGCTCATGGCCGATAGCCGGAAAGGAGACCCATCAGGCTGGATCAGCTCTGACTCGTTGTTGACACTACAGTCTAGAGCCAGACGTCTCAAAAGCAAATCCAGTGCCTCCCACAACCCGAGTTCGTGAACGATGGTGATAAGGGCCGGGTAATTGCGTGAACGTTGAAAAGTATGGACATCGGGCACCATGTCCTGAATCCAGGGTCTGAGGACCTTTCTCATGTCGTACTTTTCCACAAACACCAAGATGGCATAGAGCCTATCCACCGTTGCATCGGATGATCGACATTCGTTTGGCGGCTTGTCAAATAGAGCATAAACGACCTGGAGTATTGTTTCGGCGGCATCGGGGTCGTCTTCAGTTAAAGCGACTTGCCACGGTCGACCATCTGTATGCCTTCCCTCGAGAAAGGGGCCGTATAGTAAAGCTCGGAAGAAGGGCGAAGCGCGTGCCAGTGTTCGGGAGCAGACGAGATAGTCCCTCGCGCCGTTGCCCTGGCCAACCTGGAGCGTGAGGTCTCCCTCGGGTCGAGAATCTGTCGGGATGGTTTGCTCGTAGAGCCCATGGCGGCGGTATTCGGCGTTTCTCGATTGAGCTTTCGAAACGGTCGTGAGTACGTAAAACTGCAGGAACGGTCGTGGCGTATTTAGGCTGACGATCGGCACCAAATCCCAGATCTCTAGGTGATGATGATTGTCAAAATTGTCAACCGAGGTCAAAAAGGGTTGTGGACGGGTCTTGGGAAGACGCGGATTGAAGAGACTTATAACTTTTTCTAGCTGGCTGGGCAAGTGGACCATTCCTGCAGGTTACTGTTCGGCAACGGATGGAGAGTTTATCATCTTATCCGTCATCCTCGGGAGGCATATGTCCAATGTAAAATAGGTTCCGAGACGCGCGAAAGTAAAGCGAGGCAAACCGTCATCTACTGCTTTTACTATCCCACAATCTCAAGATCACGTTTTCTTGAGCTTCGGTCACAACTGTAACCAGCCTTTCTGCAAAACACAAATGGCACTGGTATAGCTGTGCGATGTGAGAAGCTGGGACAGCAAAAAATGATGCAAATCCATGTATGAGACGGGAATGCATTTGGTGCCTGAAAAAAACGCCACACGAAGTTAAACTTTGGTCGTTCTGAGGCGTTCGGGTTGAAAATATTCGTGTAAAACTCTATGTTCGGAAGTTTCCCGCTCCGGTACAACTGGGCACTGGTTTTACCGTCGTGGAACTTGTCGCTTCAGCGCGTAGCCATGATAATCTTGAACTCTCAAATTAGACTACTCTACAATTACAAGACATTGACCAATGCACCATCATCATCCACAAATCCAAAACTGGATATCAGCGTCTACCCCAAGACCTTGTAATGGGAATCATATCTTCGTCTTCGTCCATGACTCGTTCTTCCAAAGGCAGAGCCTGTATCACACCAACCTTGTCCGACTGTTTCTCCAGAAATTCATCCTGCACGGCAGTCAAGAGGTTTCCTTCCTCGCGAAGAAGCCCGCGAATGTACTGCACCAAGTCGTCGGCAAGGTTCGGGCTCAGACAACTGCTGTGGCCTGCCGCTTCAGCAATATCGAACTGGACGCTGTGGAGTCTTGAGATCAAGTCATTGACACTCAGTGGGTAGCATGTAGTCAGTTCTGGACCATATGGCGGCCAGATCGCAGAGAGTTCGGTTTCCGAGAGCCAGCTGAAGATGCAGCTGAGAGCGATGGATTCACATGCGATGGGTCTCCTCTCGACGTCTCCATGAGTCCGCTTTGGTGAGCAGCTGCAATTTTCATAGGGAATCCTGCGAATGGATTGGGCGACTCGGTTGAGAGTGACTCGTATAAACGCAAAGCTCTTGGCCAGGATTTCCTTTCGTTTACGAGCCATCTGGCCTAAGAGCGTGATAGAAACGGATGTTAACATGATTTTTGTCATAATATTCAGCTCGGCTTGGTTCACTATTGAGACTTACTCATGAGCCCATCAGGGAATAGGGGTATGCATGAAGGATTGGGTGGGATCCCAATCGGGCGGACAAGATCCCCATTCTGGTCGGCACAGCACCCGGCGACCATGCGCCGGGCAATCCAGTTCAGTTCATATCTTGCGCCGAGATGCCAAGAGATTGCGATCAGAGGAAGCACGTCTATCGACTCCCGGAAGCTTCTGGAAGACGGCATCCACCTAGCTGCCCACGGTTGCAGGATTTTGGTCATGTCGTACTTGTCGGTGAATATCAAAACATAGTACAACTCTCTTGGAGTCATGTTATATGGCAAGAAGTCGAATCGGGAGTGGATGATGGCGAGGACCACTGTTGAGGCGCTGGGATTGTCCTCGGGCAGCCTGACCACCCACTTCAAGCCCGAACCGTCCTTGGGCCTTCCTTCCAGGAAAGGGCCATTGAGCATTTTGTTGAATACCATGCTGGCGCGCGAGAGTGTTCTCGAGCACACCAAGTACTCTCCTGGCGCGTCCTCGTCTCCCGGGCCTCTTATCGGCCCAACCCAATTCCCACCGACGAGGAGTGTGAGGTCGCCATCAGGGTCAAATTGGATTCGGTCCAGCTCATTCGGCGAGTCCTCCATCTCCGAGTCTGACGAAATCGAAGGAAGTGATGTCGGGGTTGCTGGGGTCGCCAGTCTTACCCGTCTTCGACGGGGCAGTGGCGTTGTCGCTACCTCCATTTTGGTAGAAGACTTCCTGCGGGAAAATCTCCGTCTGCTGAATGATGTGAAAGAATAACACATGGAGTGAACAAGAATGTGTGAAGGAAGATTTGCTACGCAACCTACCTGCAGATTTTGAACTTCAAGTTAGTAGTGCTGACGCTCCGAGCGGCAAGGACTTGCTTATTTGTTTTCTTCGGCAACAGGAAGACCCGGGGATTTAAGGTTATACTGTCAATAAAGGCCGAGGTAAAGAAATGACGTGCTTTGGAGTCTCAGGCTTGCAAAGATGTCAGCTGTGGCAGTATGAGTTAACAGACAGCGGGCAAGCAAAGATATTGAACGACAAACTCCGGGCGGCAGTTACTCATCATTTGATTCATTTCCTTCACCATTAAAGCCCTGTACCATTGTTTTCGGTGGTTGGTGTGCTCAATCTACACGCTGAAGAGCCTCCCTTTTATCATCAACGTCAGTCATGAAATGATACGTTAACGCTAGAGATAGATAAGGTTTTGGAGGCGCTGTCCTGAAGCCGCAATGATGAATCACCATGTCCACTGCCATATTTCTCCTTGACAACCACGCCGCTGACCTCACTTTCGTATGACGCAGCAGGCGGTTCTTGGGTGCCTGTCATTAGAGAATGTGGACAGCCTAAAGCTCCATTCTTTCCCATCCGAGGTTCTTTTTCCTGGCGACCTTAGCTTGGTTAGGAATGACCGAACCTCCGCTCAACTTTAAGCATATTAGAGTTGTAAATCACAACAGAACGGGGACCTTGGCGCAGTTGGTTACCGCGCAGGTCTCATAACTTCTTATCTATCTATTGACATAAGATAATCTATGATCTGGTAGGTCGTGAGTTCGATCCTCACAGGTCCCATTCATTCATCCACTACCTTTACTGCACTTGTATTACTTTTTGAGCTAGCCTCACTCACTCATTCTTAACTTGTTGTGACTATAGATAATGACTCGAAGGAAATTGTCTCCATGTATTTGCTTGATTGAGGCTTTTTTCCTTTTTCATTCGGCTGTTTCAAGGTATCAGACGGATTAAAGACTGTATATGTCCACTCACCCACCCCCAGGTTCTAAAAAGTAAAGATCCCCCCCATACTAAAAAGCAAAAGAATGCGTTTTTCTCGGCGCTCGTTTTGGTGGATTCGCCTGGTGTTTTATTACTTCCTTTTTTCTCTTCTCGCCTACGATCGATATAACTCTTAATGCCACCGTCTCTTAATATTTTCTCTCACTTTTACTTTATCTCTTCTATCCTACACATCTCAACCCATCATCTTCACATCTTCATACTTGGCACCTGCCTTTCTCCACTCGTTCACATCTTGTACACGATCATATCTCTTTCCTTTTTCGAGTCTCTTTGGAAGATCTGGGACGAAGCGGATTTCAGTCGGCGACGACCTCTTCGGCAAACGAGGCGACGGTTAAGGGCGGTTTTCTTTGAGGTTTTCAAGGGCGACCAGGTTGTCCAGCTGGACTTGAAAAGACTTTGCACGATGGATTGCTCCGGTATCAACGCGGGTGGCATGGCTGGTCATTCATTTAGTTATGCCTGAGAATCTCGATTGGGCGGTTCAGAGGACCTGAAGCCGTTGGAATCCCAAAAGCTCTCTCCTCTGTATTACAACGTAATCCACATGGACGATAACGCTTTTGCAGATCGCCGTGGATTTTAGATCCAGTTCATGATTGACTAATGCCGTATTTGATGTTTGTGCACTGAAATTTCACATTTTACTCCCCATAAACCGTCCTTCCAACAGCACATCCCCGGTTTTGCCGTAGGCTTCCGCTGTTCTCCACTACCTACCGTGCCTTCCTCGACAGTAACATCTCGCGAGAATGGCTCACCGGTCTCCATCTCTGGGCTTTCACCTCCTGGATCCTCACCGGTCCTTATCAGTGGGTACTGGAGAAGGACTGGAAATGACCTCGAATGCTAACTGTGTTTTCTCTGTGTCCCTCGAGCGTTCTTTTTCTGCGTTTTGAGCATTCAGATCTACCAGGTACCCATCACCATCAAGATGGCACGCCTCACCAGAAAGAGAACTGCCACCCTCTTACCAGGCCAAACTACTCTGATGCGAGTCGACAACGGCGTCCTAGCATACGAGTCGAACCCGGCGCGCCAACCAGACAAACCTGCCCCAAAGTCCACCCAAAAGCCAAGACAGAAGAAAGAACAGGAGACAATCCCAGGGCAGACTAAGGTGACGGATTGGCTGAAGCCAGTAACAGCTGGCTCAGAAACACCACAGGGCCGGCCACTTGACCCGTACTCAAGTGACCACGAGACGGATGCATACGATGTTCGTAACGAAGAGCGAGAGCACAAGAAAAGGCGCAAGACAACATCAGCCCCCGTCAACCAAGTCGACCGAAACAACACAACCAATACAATACAAGCCCCCTTATCCAACCCCGATAGTGGTTCGACGTCTTCTCCATTCGCCCAGACACATACTCGTCACGATCAGATCGACACGCAAACGAGTTCTTCCAATATCAAGTCCCGTCTCCAGCGCCGTCCTGCCACATTTGACGATGATGACCTCCAGGGACCATGGGGTTCTGTGCCGGACCTGGGCCTGTCCAGCTCGGGATCTCTTAGTGCCAGCAGCATTGTAGTCGGTCTGGGTCCCGAGGAGGATCCGGAATATAGTGAACACGATGCTCATGATTCCGATTCCGATTTCGAGGATGACGAAACTGCGGACGATGCTTCTGTGGATATCGGTCATGAATCGATCACTGGGGGACTCAGCCCTACCGACGTGCAATACAGACGAAATCGAGATCTCACCGACGAACTGTACACGACTCCAGCCGATCTTCCAAAGGATGATCGCCGACATTTAGGCGTTGGTTTCAAGCAACCCTTCAGAACATGAGCTTTTCTAAGGCCAGCCCGCGTAGGCTGCGCCCCCATCAAACGCATCCGCCAAATCATGGCGCCCTGAATCCGCAGGTGGATGGGAAGACAGAACCCAACAGAACTAGTTGGCAGTATTATGGACCATATACCATTGAAAGTCCAAAGCCTGCTAGGACGGCCAAATCTCACACCATTAGACGTCCTGGAACTCCCGCATTGGAATTTATCACCAGACAACCCGAATTGGGGAAGTTACTTGCATACCCCCACACGCCTCGTAACACCCACAGATCTTGTTACGACCACCCACACTGTCCAGAAACGAGGTGATGCATCGTATGAAGTCGGGTCTATGTGGGTATATCTGGTTGTAAAGGGAGTGTCAGACGAAGGATTTTGAACCATAAAAGGGCGATCAGTCGAGAAGAAGAAGGTCGGGCAGAAAACAGTAGCCAGTATAGTCGCGGTGTTTTTCTCAAATAAACTGAACCAATCATCTTCCTCCAAAGAGCCCAACGGGAGAGCAACGAACTCATAAATGCATCAACTAGCTGGAATAAAGACCTTAACTAGCTAGAATAAATGCCTTGACTGGCTGGAATAAATGCCTTGACTAGCTAGAATAAATGCCTTGTCTGACTGACATAAATGCCCTAACTAGTTGGAATAAATGCCTTGAAAAGTGAAATTGGACTGGTGCCTGTGTACGAGAGTAGTGTTGCCTGAATATTAGGCGCTTATATTAACGGTGTCTCTAATCCTCAACTGCAAAGCTGCTGCGAAAAGGTCGAGTTTTTGACATTAGCAGTTGCTTATTACAGAATCCATTGTTCTAATAGGACTCGCAAGGTCGAATCCGAGTCGTCTCGACGCCTATACGGCTTTGCTAGTTACATCATCGTCTTGCTTTCTCTATTTCCATATGTTAGGTAAGAGATCACATTCTTACAGGAATGGGAAGAACCTACAGACAATGCTTAGCGCGGAACTCAAAACAGAGGGCTCCTGGAGTCCTGGTTCATGATGTTCTGAATACTCGCTTCCCTCGCCGCTTCCGATGTGGGAGTGCTTGTTTCTGGTACTTCGGATATTTGTGGTATCGTCGTCTCAGCAGCAGTCGTGTCATACATGGTGGTATCGCCCTCGTCAAGTTGCTGAATTTCCCCGTCGGCGTCGGCGTCGACGCCGACGCCGCCAGCGTTGGACGAGTCCCCTTTGCCTTTGGCATCCTTCCTCGGTCTCCCGCTCCGTTTGCTCGAGTCAAAGTTCTTGTGGGCTTTCCAGTGTCGAATGGTGTGTCGAACTGTGGCGTCCGAGACGCGAAACTTTCGCGCCACGGCTTTTTCACTGAGGGCACCTGAAGCCACCAGGGCGCACATGGCTACCCTGATATAGGGGGTACATTCTTTCCCCTTCTCGCGGCCGGCCGTTATGTCGGTGATGAACTCATCCAGGTCGAGGGGCATTTTAGTACATGTATCGCGGGGTGGGTGATCAGTTGTATGATTGAAGCGGTTGGAATTGTGGTTGGTGTCATCAAGTGTTGACGCGGGGCGCGCACATATTTCTCCTTGGCTCCTGTAACCCCTGAAAAGCGGGGCAAATCCCCCGTTATATCCGTAGTTCTAAGTCACGATATTTTGGCAGCTAGCGTTGATATGACTGCCAGTTCGAGGTGAAATTTGTCCTGTTTCTGTATTTATCTTCTACTTTTAATTGCTGGCTTCTCACAGTGAAGAGAAATTGAATGTGTCTTTTGCCTCTTCGACACCCAAGGTAAGAGATTATGACTATATCCGACATATCGTTTTATCCACTTGGCTAACCCGTCAAGCAGCATCATCAGAATGCTTTGGACGCTGAGGTGAGCCACTTTTTAAGTACATCACATCTTGCTCTAATATTCCGATGCCCCATGTTCCTAGACTGGTCAATAACTACTCTGTAAAACAGTTGTTTCTCCTGACCTCTTCGGCCCAAACCGGATATAAGATCTTTCGCCAAGAAAGGGGGCTTAAACCCGGTATAAATAGTACATGGCTTGTCCTTTTATCAGGCAAAAAAGCACTTCCAATCTTACATGCAAGATATTACTATGTTCGGTGGTATTTTGGGAAATTGTCCATCCTATCATACAGATTACACCGTTTCAGGTTAACATCTTATCGGTACACTATCTCATATCGCAGATTGTGCACGTGTGGTACCGTCCGTTAAAACATCGGTGTCAACCGTGGACCGTGGGAATGTTGGTCCCAAGTTCGGGCACGCCAAGCCCACTGACAAGCGTTGTGAAGTGCATTAGTTTCCCTTTGAATGGATCAATGGGTAGTCCATTCCCCCTGTTTCTAGTCATGTTCAACTGATCCTGGCTGTCGACCCGAGGGCGGCGCAGCCAGTCCTGGTCTGCAACTTTGCTGGCTCTATCCAGAGTCACACTCGTAGTGCCGCCGCATTGCATATGCGGACCGCGGTTATCATCTCGAGGGTCTAGAATCAAGGGGGCATGGTGTTGAGGTTCTTCAGCATTGGTATATCTAACCAGGCCAATCAAGGATGAGATTCGTGCTCTGAATCCCTTTTGAAGTGATGATACCTCCGAGCTCTCAGCGTCTCATCCGTTCTCAGCAGACGTCGGGGAGTCACAGTGTCATTCATTTCCGGGGATAAATTCGTTGTTTTTGGTCACATTCAGCAAAGATGATGCTAGCACCGAATCAGGTTGCCTTGCCGATGTGGAATCACAGTTCCAAGTTTGACAATGCCCCTCTATTATTATTCCGTATTATTACCAGTCCCGCGACGACTGAGCACATCATGATGATGGGCGCAGTCAGCCCATTGATTTCCGGGCCCCTGGCACACATCTCGAATTTTGGCACCCTGCACGGAACATGTGCGATTGCTGGGTCGTACCGTCATGCGTTTCTGGGTTTGAACCCACCCCCACGCTGCTTCGATCCGGGCCACTGCTTAAATGGAAT